ACTTGCCATGTCCCATTCTGACAGCCAGAAGCTCCCCTGCCCAGCCCCAATATTTCTGCACACACCTTGGGCAAGGGACGTTGGCAGTACCACGCTCACAACTTTCCCAAGCATCTCCCTCCTCCTGCCAGGCACTGTGCTGGGCCCCGGGCGGGCTGAGATGAGGAAGGTACGCTTGGGAGCCTGCTGGGGTTTGGCCAAGGAAATAGCCACCCTCCAACCCTCCAGTTTCCAGGTGGGAATTTGCATTTTCCTTTCCAAAGACCCCTTAGCATGACTCTCTGCTCTTTAGAGCTTACTTCATCCGGCCTACTTATAGTTCCCAGTTTATCATAGCAAGCTTAAATTGCTGTTGTTGCAGGGAAAAACCATAAACTTATTTTTTACAAAGTTTATTTAGCTGGTATTACATACCCAGTATTGGGCAAGCATTATGTCACTGGGGTAGTAATAGATGTAGAAGAAGAAAATCTTCAAATTTTCTTACCAAAAATGCCATCTATTTTCATTTCACACTGCTTGATACATCCAAGGCTTAGGGCACACGGACAAGGAAGCCTGTGTATGTTTTAGAGGAGGATTCTCGGGGGGCAGGAGTGTTTGGGATTCTTGTGTGGTTAGGGAAGGTTCCCCAGGCGTCACTAACATGACTCAGGGAGCTGCCTCCCGCCCCGGACCCTGCGACGTGCCCGTCTCCTGTAATAAAAATGATAAGGATGATCTAAATGGCGCTATTACACTTACCAGGGGCGTCCACACGTCCTGACAGTGCTGAGGTGAGAATGTGGAAGTAATGAGGTTAAGTGGGATGATCGATGCCTGACACAGACCAAGTGTTCAGATATTGAGAGCTGTTACGTGCAGCCCCCTTCTGTCTCATAACAGCCACCTCACACGAGGCATTTTATTTCCCGTTTTATCGACGAGAGCACTGCAGCTCTGAGCAGCTCCCAGCCTGCCGTAGACTGCAGCGGCTAGCAGGAGGGAGGTTGAGATTTGGACCCAGGTCCCCTGCCAGCCACAATGTGTTGACCTAACAGCTTTGCAGGGATTTTCTGGCCCAACGAGAGAAGACATCATTCCGTGTCTCCTCTTAATTTCCAAAGTGCTTTGATCGGCTTGTTTCTATAGACTCTGCACTACTCAGCATTTTCCAGAAATCGTCTTGCCTCTGATGGTGATTTTTCACCTCTTTTGCTTTGGTCTGAGGGGAAACTACTCAGAATATATCCTTTCCTGTCGAGCTTCAGTCCAACCCTGCTGACGTACACTCCACTTTCTCCCCCAAGCTCTGCCTTTTACATGGAGATCGAAGCCCAGTGTGTAGCCTAAATTTGAAAGATGTCACTTAGGTGGACCTAGGGTTGCTCAACCAAAGTCTTCGAATATTGGTTTGAGAGGAGGAAAAGGCAACGCGTGCTTTGGTCCGAGAGCCCTTCAGTTAGGGGGATCCCTGTCACCCTCAAGAGCCTTCAGATACTGTCCAGCACAGTTCAAAACTCCGTCCTTGCCTTCAGAATAAGGCACACGGGGGCGTGGGGGCGACCTCACTGCATTGGACCCATTTGACTGCATTTGAATGAATTGCCACCATTCAACACTGGAGGAATTTCCCAGACGATGCCTACGTCCTGCTTCTATTGGAAAAAGGTCTGGAAGATGTAGAAACACTAGGAGGCATTTTGAGCCCCAGGATAAGAGCTCTCCCTGGAGACAGACATGTGCTTTTTACCGGGTTTGCTTATGTCACACATATTATCCATGAAGCCCTGCTATAATGCTGGGCAGGTCCTGCCAGCTACCCAGCCATGTGATTAGGGACAAGTCATCTAAGCGCCATGAGCCTGGGCCTCCTCATGGCTGCCTCTTAGCCACCTGAGTCAGACTGGACTTTCCAGTCCTATGAGCCTCCGATTGCATCGGACAATTCGTCCAGTGGCCAGAATGCAGAGCTGGAGACAGGGACCCCCTGTGACACTGAGTGCGGGAGGACCAGGAGCATGGCCTGCGACCTCCGTGTTCCCTGGATTTAGACTGTCGGGCCTTTTTCCTCTGGGACAACAGCTCTCATGTTCTTGGTTGAAAAGCTACCAGGACCAAGCGCTTCCAGAAACAGCCCCAGGCTCTGAAGGGTGATTTGATCTGTCCCTTGCCTCCAGGCAGGCCATCAGCACCATTTCAGAGCAGACTTTAGGGCTTTGCGCCTGTGAAATAAGAAGAAAGGAAAGAAGGAAGAAAGGAAGAAGAGAGGGAGGAGGGGGAAGAAAGGGACTGTTCTGATGAAAAATACAACAGATTTTGCAACATTGACATAACTTAAATCTCAACAACAGGCCTGCAGTGCCATCACAACAGCAAATACGCTCGTTAATCTCTGTCCATATCCACATTAGAATGTCACCGTAAACAAAGTTGACATTTGCTGAGAGGGCGCCAAGTAGACCTACAGAACGTACGAAAACACGGTTGGAGCAGGGGGGTGGGAGGCGGCGGGGAAAGGGTTACCACAGGAGTAAAAGGCGACGTGAAATGCACACAGCGGCCGGCGTCTTTGCCTGTGCGTTCCTTCTTTCTCCCTGGCTAAATGGGAACAGGAGCCACACTCCCCTCAAAGGTGAGGGTCCCATAAGGTCAAGTGCTTAAGGTGCTCAGCACAGCCCCTGACACAACCCTTAACAGGCGTGAGCAAGCTGGACGGGCAGTCATGCTTCAGTTCAAGTGCATTTAATGCGATAAAGCCAACCCTAAGGGAAGCTCTGAGGCTCCACGTTAGAGAGCCAGGCTTCCCTGCTTATCCTGGCTGCCGCGCCTGTTTTGTTTTCACTCGCTAACTCCCCTCTGGTGGGTTTCCAGCAAGACCTGATTTGCAAAGATGCATTTGACACCAGCTATTTCACAACCATCCAAATACGTAATCGAGGCCAATCTGCGTGGCTGCAGTCATTTGTGCTCCTTCCACGCTACGTGTGAAACACCTGCGGGTGTGAGGTGCATGTCACACCTCACTGTGGAGACTCATCCCCGGTTAAAGTAGGGACGCTGGCTCTTAGGTGTGGAGGGGCGGAGACCCCGCTCCCCGCACGCTCCCTGGATGCCACTCGTCTGGGGCCCGTACTTGGAGCAGCAAGAAATGCAAACACAGTAACTGTCTTGTTTGGAGGTCAGGCCTCCCTAGGACCTGAAAAGCAGGGGGAAGCCAAGCTGACGATCACTCTGTGGCTGCCATTGGCCCCTGCACTTGTTGATGAGACTCACTCAGACCCAGGTGACTCTTAGTTAACACACTACCTGTACCAGGTCATAGCACAGAGGGCTGGCTCTAGCCCTTCACCTGCTCCTCAAGGTCCGAGTAGGTAAAAAGGCACCAGGAGGCCTGTGTTCTTTCCCTCCTTCACCAACACCCAGGCCCTGCTGGGAGGACAGTCCATGCCCTGAGCCTCCTCCCCCAGCACCCAGGCCCTGCTGGGAGCACAGTCCATGCCTCCTCCCCCAGCACCCAGGCCCTGCTGGGAAGACAGTCCATGCCTCCTCCCCCAGCACCCAGGCCCTGCTGGGAGGACAGTCCATGCCTCCTCCCCCAGCACCCAGGCCCTGCTGGGAGCACAGTCCATGCCTCCTCCACCAGCACCCAGGCCCTGCTGGGAGGACAGTCCTGAGCCATGAGCTCAGCCAGTGATTTGCTGTGTGGTGACAAGCAGCCTCTTTCTTCTGGGTCCTGAGTCTCCCATCCCTAAGAGTTTTGAATTGGGACCACGGTTTCCAACCTGGAAGGTCCTGAGAATCACCTGGGAAGTTGGATAAAATCCTGATCTCCAGCCCCAACCTTGATCTAGATCAGCAGTTCTCAACCTGTGAGTCGCGACCCCTTTGGTGGTCGAACGACCCTTTCACAGGGGTCGCCTAAGACCATCCTGCATATCAGATATTTACATTATGATTCATAACAGAAGCAACATTACAGTTATGAAGTAACAACGAAAATAATTTTATGGTTGGGTCACAACATGAGGAACTATATTTAAAGGGCCAGAAGGTTGAGAACCACTGATCTAGATCTTTGAATATCAGTGGGAAAGAGGGCAGGGGAGAGCTCAGAACAGAGTCTGCTGGGATGTAGGGGAAAAGGGGAAACCTAAGTGTGAATGAAGCCAAGTTTACAGGGAGGAGCAGCTAAAAACCTGGGACCCACATGCCTCCCCACTCCTCACCCCTGTTTAATAAACCAGAGGGGTCCGAGGGGGTTCTCCATCAGCCCTTCCCCTCCCCACTGAGGGCCAGGGGGAGGCAGGGCCACCCCTGTTCTGTTTGCTGTAAACACCAGGGGCTGCTGCTCCGACCTCCACTAATCCTAGCTCCACGCCTCCCAGGCCTGCAGGCCGCCCACCTCCCCAGCACCTGAGGCCTCCTCTGGCCCTAATTCCCTCTGCTCTGCCCACTTGACTTCTCCCCGCTCTGTATTAGTCAGGAGTCTTAGTTACAAGTGATGGATACTCCAGGCAAACTGACTTTAGGGGGAAATAAATAAACGGACAAACCAGAAAACCCTAGGCTCATACAGCCAGGGAGAGCTTCCGGGTGGGCTGGATCCAGGGCTCCTGGATGCCCACAAGGTCAGGAATGGATGGGTGGACTGAGGGCTGAACGGTCTGAGTCTCAGCGACAGAGCAAGCCCTGCCCGAACCCTGGGAGAGAAGGAAACCAAGGCAGGCGAATACACCTCCCTGTGTTCCTGCAGGGAGCAGCTTTTGCAGACGTCCGTTCGGGCTTCCTCTTCCTTTGATACACACCTGCCCACAGCCTCTCTCGGAGAACAGGGGGAGCCTGTATTTTCCTGGTTACGTCCTTGCATGGCATTCCTGTCTTGTGAGTAAGAAGTGCCCTCAGGCGGCTGTCTGGGGCCTGGGGTGATGCCCCAGGGAGCCCCCCTTTGTCGATTGCTCATCTGGGCTCCGTAGGAACAAGATTCTGGCTCCCATTCTCAGCATCCCTCCACCTCCCAGCATCCCTCCATCTCCCAGCATCTCTCCATCTCCCAGGATCCCTCCATCTCCCAGCATCTCTCCATCTCCCAGGATCCCTCCATCTCCCAGGATCCCACCTTCTCCCAGGATCCTTCCATCTCCCAGCATCTCTCCATCTCCCAGCATCCCACCTTCTCCCAGGATCCCCCCACCTCCCAGCATCTCTCCATCTCCCAGCATCTCTCCATCTCCCAGCATCCCACCTTCTCCCAGGATGCCTCCATCCCCCAGGATGCCTCCATCCCCCAGGATCGCACTGTCTTCCAGGATCCCGCTGGCTTGGAACCCTGAAAGACTTCTCTCCCACTTGTGGAGCAAACTGATCACTTCCCAAGGGTGAGGTTCAGTGGGATTTCTGGGGCAAACAGACAGGTGGTGGGAACCAGGTGCCAGGCATGAGCAGGAGGTACTTGAAACAGGGGAGGATCCATGTGAGTGGTTAAGACCTTGAGCTCTGGGGTCCGAAAGACCACGGTTCCACCACCTGGCTCCACCACAAACCAACTGTAATACTTTGGGCAAAGTCCTTAATATTTCAAAACCTCGTTCCCCAAACTGTACAATGAGGATAACAATACCTTGTCATGACAAATTTCAAGGTTAAATGATCCAAAGCATGTTAGTACCGGGCACTGGGGAAATGCCAAGTGCTACGGACGCTGGCGGATAAGCATCGCTTGTCTTATCTTGTAATCAGTCTTGCCCACTAGACTGTGAGCTGCCGGGGGGCAGGAACCCAGGCAACTGAGACAGCGCCTGGCCCATAGTAGATGTTCATCGATTGCTTGTTGAGTGCATGTCAGACAAGGCGGAGTGGAAATTACACTTTCTGTTATGTTATTGTGTCGATTTCTACTCCTGTCTCTCTAACTAGATTGAGGTCCTGGAGATCACAGATAACCCTTATTCCTCTATGTACTCCTAGTGCTTAGCACATAACCTCTCTGAGTCTCAGTTTTCTTACCCATAAAATGGGAATCAAATTCCTACTTGACAGGGTTTGTGAGGGTAACAAGGGCTAATGCATGTAGAACACTTTGCACGGTGCCCAGCACACTGCAATTATGACAACTGTGGTCATAACCACCTGGCATAGCGGTGTCACCTCCAGTGTGCAGGGCTGAGCAGGGGCTGCAGGTGAAGGCCAGCTTCCTCTCTCTCCCAGGGTGTGGCCATTTGAGTTGATTGGTGAACAAGCTTAGAGACAGCTCACCTTTTTTTTTTTAATATATTTTATTGATTTTTTACAGAGAGGGATAGAGAGTTAGAAACATTGATAAGAAACATCAATTCAGCTGCCTCCTGCACACGCCTTACTGGGGATGTGCCCACAACCAAGGTACATGCCCTTGACCGGAATCGAACCTGGGACCCCTCAGTCCACAGGCCGACGCTCTATCCACTGAGCCAAACCGGCCAGGGCGAGACAGCTCACCTTTTACTCGATGCTTATCTCCTATACACTAGGCACCACGCTCAATGCTTGACAAGCGTTAGCTCCTTGAATGTGAGGCACAGAGCACCTAAGTGACCTGCCCAGGACTGGACAAGTGCTAGGTAGTCGAGCTGAGATTTGAACCTGAGCTTCTGACTCCACAGCCACTATGACTGAACTTCAGTATTCGGCTTCTCTGAGGCGGGGTTTACCGACCTCAACGCTATCGGCATTTGGGCCCAGATTGTTCTTTGCCGTGGGGGCTGTGCTGTGTGTTGTAGGATGCACCTTTAGCAGCATCCTTGCCTCTACCCACTAGAGGCCAGGAGCACGTCACCCCTCTCCCAATGTGTGACAACCTAAAATGTCTCAGATACTGACAAATGTCCCGGGGTTTGAGAATCACCTCTCTGAGGGGACAGCACCTTTCCCCTCTCCTAAGCCAATGGCAGTCCCCTCCCCACGGGCACTCCAAGGCCATGGTCTCCGGGGACAGGAGTGCCTTGACAGGAAGTCTGAGTGCTGTTCCAGTTCCTCTGACTTGAGAGTGAGCTGGTGGGTCAGCTCCCACTCTCAGCATTCCTTTGCTCACTAGCAATGACCCCAACAGCCACTTAATTGTCCAACGCAGAAATGTGGGTGTCACCCTTGACCCTCCCGCCCCTCACTACCCCATCTTATCTCTTACCAGTCCTATTGGCACCGCCTCCCAATTCGTGTTCCAATCCATCCCCATCCATTTCCTTCTCCCTCCTCTCCATTCCCTCCCTCCTCGGCTGCCTAGGTCCGGCTGCCATCCGCCCACCTGTGGGTCGGCCTCTCAGCCCATGTCTGCCACCGATCTCACACTCTCCCGTCCACGATGATCTTCTGAAAACACAAATCTGATCCCTCCCTGCCTGGGGTGTTCCCTGAGAGCACCCTCTGCTCCTGAAGGAGCTGGTAGATGGCAAAGCCCCCTTAAACGGAGGGCCCTGGCGGGAGGTGTGGATGGAGCCCATCCAGGCACATGGCTCCTGCACTGTGATCACGGGTGACCTGTCTCTCTTCCACCACATGTGAGCTCTGCACAGGCAGGACCTTTCACCCCCTGGTTCTCCGCGTGGCACCCAGCACAAGCTTGTTGAGTAGACTGTGAGCGAGCAGACAGGTGGCTGGATTGTGGTCGAGGTGTGTGCCGGGCTCCAAGCTGGGGAGGGCAGCCTGAGCCCACGGCCGGCGCTCCAGAAGTGTCTGTGGTTGCCAGCTTCCTGCCTCAGGGAGGACTCTATGTCCACCTTCTGAGGGGTTTCACATCCAGAGGGGGGACACAGGAGGCAGATGGACGAGAGGGAGCAGGTGCTTGCTGTGACTGACAGCTCTCCCCGGAGCCGGAACTTTCTCACAGGGACTCCTTCAAGCAGGAGGTCACTGCCCAAGGAGCCTGGACCTGGAGACCTGGGGCATCTGATGGCCTTTATTTGGGCAGAAATGCACAGAAAGCGACACTGGGTCTCTTTGGCAGCCACAGGCTCACTCTGCCCAGTGGATGCTCTTGCCAGAGTGGGGAACAGGTTTGTTCTAGCAGAGGGGCTGCTGGGGCCGGCATGGGCAGTCCGTGTGAGCCCACAGGGCACCCTGCTCCCTCCTTCTCCTGCCCGAGGGAGAGGGCCAGCCAGCAGAACTCGGGGCTGGGGGCAGTGACAGCTGCCCCTGTCCAGAGCCAACAGACTTTGTTCCCCTGGATTTTCCACGTGGGCAATTCTCAGATCGGATCTGATTGTCCACGCGCCTTCAGAGGACGGTGGGGGCAGGGCAAGGGTTTGGAGTAGCTGTGGGGCTGAGCCACCTGAAGGAGGGGCTCTCCCCTCCCCCGCAACACACACACACACACACACACACACACACTCTAACTAACTAGTAGGAGCAAAGGAGCCGGCCAGGAGACCGACTTAGACGCGGGGTCAGCTGAGGCCAGGCCAGATGAGAAAAGTGGGCCGCTTCCTGCTTGGCCTTAAGCCAGGAAGATGCTGACAGAATCCAATCAGGGCTCCCAGCAGGCTGTAGAATTGGAGCCCCAGGGCCTGTCAATGGGGGCAACTTACTAACAGCTTCTAGGAGGCAGGTGTAGAGTCAAAGGGGACTGGGCTTCAACTCCAGCTTTTTCCCGTACCATCTGTGTGACCTTGCGCAAGGCCCTGCATCTCTCTGAGCCTCAACCTCCTCATCTGTAGAATGGGAATTGTCCTGGGACAAAGGAAACAAAA